TAAAAATCAGAGCGCCTGTTCTCCTCCAGAGGAATGCAGCTCCTTGCCAGCAATGGAACAAAGCTGGACGGAGAATGACTTTGACGAGTTGAGAGAAGGAGGCTTAGACGATCAGTAATAACAAACTTCTCCCAGCTAAAGGAGGATGTTCGAACCCATTGCAAAGAAGCTAAAAACCTTGAAAAAAGAGTAGATGAATGGCTAACTAGAATAAGCAGTGTAGAGAAGTCCTTAAATGACCTGATGGAGCTGAAAACCATGGCACGAGAACTACGTGATGCATGCACAAGCTTCAGTAGCCGATTTGATCAACTGGAAGAAAGGGTATCAGTGATTGAAGATCAAATGAATGAAATGAAGCAAGAAGATAGGTTTAGAGAAAAAAGAGTAAAAAGAAACGAACAAAGCCTCCAAGAAATATGGGACTATGTGAAAAGACCAAATCTACGTCTGAATGGTGTAACAGCACAAATTTATGACATGAGAAGTCGTTAAGGAAAGAAGCTCTCCAAAGCACAGAAACCCATGAAGCCCACAACTGGGAGTGATGGAGAGAAGCCCACAGTAGGGGTGATGGCCATGTGGCACAGTGAAAAGATGCAGTGACCACCTGGGAAAAGCCTTGGCAGATTGTAGAGGGAAGTGGAGTAAGGTTGCAGCAGGCAGTCAGACTTCCACCTGAAGTATTCAGACCAAGCCCTAATTTCCAGGGCAAGGGGATTAAGGCCACCTAGCCAGTTCATGGCCAAGCTAAGTTTGGTTCACAAATCTTTCACTCACCAGCCCTCACTCTCATGCCCATTCCACTGCCCATATTGCCTCCCTAGCATGGACTCTGAGGTCAGAAAAGGGGAGCCAGCATTTGAAAGCAGACATTTCTAGTACTAAATAGGACAAATGAACCAAAAGATTGGTGCATGCTGAAGATTTGTCAGTATGTGAAGGCTGCAGACATAGAGAAGGAGCAGTGATATGTGTTATGAAGAAGGCACATTGAAAGACAGCCTTGGGAATAAAAAGAAAAGAAACCCTGAGCCATGAATGCCACAGTTGAGGTTCGCATTTACAGTATCTTCAGGTAAATAGTCCTGAACAGAGCTGCAGAAACAGATTTTTAAATCCCTCTGGTTTTGTTTTTTTCCCTAACCTAAAGCATATCTAAGATATGCTCAGACATATCTAAGACTTTATCTGGTATTCTTGCTGAGGACAGATCTCTGAATCATGATGATTGATAAACACAAAAGGCAACCAAGGATGAACATTTGAACTCAATTACACTCTGACATTGGTCAGACACTTCCTCTAGGCTGTTTCAGATACTCAGTGTCCTGAAAAGAAGAAAGAGGAGGAATAAGCAGGCCCTGCTGTTGGGGACCTCACAGGCTGGCGGTTACCACCTTTTCCTTCCAGCTATTGACTGATTTATTCACTTATCAAGCTTTTACTGAATGCTCGTGAGGAATCTGCATGGCTCTTGCCTTAGGGGCAGGTGGTGCACTACGTCACTGCTGAATAGAGAGAAATTATCTTCTCCTTGTTTGGAAATAACTCCTTTTTACTTCAAATGACTTGGTTATCTGTTGCTGCATAATAAACCACCCCCAAAACTTCTTAAAACAATCTATTATCATCTCTTATTCTGTGGGTTTACAGGGCTCACTGAGCAATTCTCACTTGGAGTCAGATGTCACTGGCTGGAATCATCTAAAGGCTCAGCTGGGCTGGATATTCGAGATGGCTCACATACATGGCTGACAGTTGATGCTGGTGGTCAGCTGGGGGTGCTGCTGGGGCTGTCAACTTGAGCCCCTACATATGACCTTTCCATGTGACTTAGACTTCTCACAGCATGGCAGCTGATTATCCCCGGAGAAAGCATTCCAAGAGACCTAGGAAGAAGCCTCAAGGCTCCTTTTTACCCAGCCTTGGATGTCCCAGGAAGTCCCCATGTTTCTATTGTCTCGTCAAGTCACTAATGTCAACCCAGATACCAGAGAGGGGAATGAGATTACACCTCATGTTGTAAGGAATGGCGTGTGTGTTTTGGGAGGGAAGGCGTTGATGGTCACCATTTTTGGAGAGGAGCTGTCACAATGGCCAAACTCCGGAATATCACACAGAGGAAGGCTGAGAGAAGCCCCTTCCCTTTTGGGGGTAAACATTAAGTGCAAAAATAAGCAAAATGGTTAACTGGAACTGGGCCCAAAGAGAATAGTGACAAGATCAGAGGAAGTAAGAAAGAAAGGAAGTCCCTTCTAGACCACAACTTCCATACAATCCGTGTGCAGGCTCATCTGGAGAAAGGTGCAGGTCCTACATCTGTCAAGCACGGTGTTAGGCCCTGGGAGACAAAATAGAAGGGTCTGTGTGACATGGCATCATAGAGAAAGACTGATGCTTTCAAATGCATGTAGTAGATGTAGATGCACTCTGGGCTAAAAAGGGAGGAAACAGTCCACTCTGTTTGAGGTTTGTGTTTGGTATTACCAGGGAGGGGAAAGCTTTCATAAAGGTGATCTTGAGGGAAGTCCTTTGCATTGGGGTTACTTTCCCCACTCCCAAGAGTGGTCATGAGACCAGTGGCCTTCCTTGCCATACCCATGGACACTGCTGTGATTCCTGTTGCTTTGGAAATGTCAGAGAGGAATGGCCTGCAAGGCAGTCTAAACTCTTGTGAGTTGACAGCTCCCCCTGCTGATCAAAAGGCTGATTGGAGCTAGGAAACAGGGATTTTGAATAATCCTTAAGTAATTCATTGACACTGGGGTTTACTAGACTACAACTCACATAATTTAGAAGTCCCATGAACACAGAAACCCTTGTGGTGTTCAAATATTTTCATGAAAAGTAACCATCACCTTCTCCTACCATGGGATTGGCTGCCCAGGGCAGAGGGCAGGGGGAGGGAAGTGAAGTGGTACAGGTAAAAAATTTAGTGGTGGCACAGAGCACCCCTTTGTGGCCACCATAGCCAGAGAGACCACCATAACAAGAGTCTGAATCTTCAGCAGAGCCCCTGAGCCCTGGCTACAGCCTTCAGGCTTCTGTATCTCCATCCTAACCCCCTTACACAGATCAGCATATTGAGTATGCAGATGTGGGGCTTTCTTTATGAGCTGTGAGCTCCATGAGGTGAGAGATCACAGACAACCTAAGCAAGACAGTATACCAGGTTCCAATCACATGCTTGGTGTGGAATGGGCATTAGATATGGGTTTGATGTTACTGAGTTGGTCTAAAAGTGCTGTGTTTTTTTGTGCATACTGAACAGAGAGTAGTCCTGTCTAGAGCTGTGGGCTGCAAGGCTCAGGAAGCATTCTGAGAGTTTCTTGCTGGGAAAGTATTATATCAGTCAGTGAGAATAGGTGCTTTTTTCATTTCTCTTTACATAGCCATCTTCTTGAGGTTGCCTAAGAGTACAGGTTCTAAAAGAGAACATAGAAACCAGTAAAATCACAAAATAGCAATTCAGGTTGAGTTTTAAAAATTATACTTTATTCATTCTCTTACAAGTGAAAGAACATTTTTTAACGACTGGGTCTTAAAGCCAGCCCTGAGGTTCTACAAACAGGATTACTCAGACCAACTGTGGAAAAAGTTACATTACTGGTGTTTATTAGGCTGACTTCTTCAAAGTATTTTAGTCTCATCTTCTTGGACTGACATGAATACAAGAGGAATTTCTCAAGGACTCCTGTGGCAAGCTGGCTGAAGAAGACTTATTTTTAGCTGTGTCCTGACAGTGCTGGCACTGCACACTCAAGGGAAAGCCCCAGAGACCCTGAGTTCCAGAGACACAGAGCCTCTAGGAGCTGCAGATTGATCCCAGCTGCAGATTCAGCTGGAGCCCATGGGTTGGTTTAAACTACCCAGCTTCACTCAGATGACACCCCAGACAGGGGTTTCAACCATAAGAGCCAGGCAGAGGTTTGAGGTCCAGGTGATCCTCCTGTGATGGCTCCGATTCCCCCAGTGGTTTCTCATGGATATGCTGGTATCTGGTACAATGAGCACATTTGGAGGGCCTTCCAAATTACCCATTCCCCCAGGAAAGCCAGCAAGTTACTCTTGCTGCTTCTGTGGAAGATCTTCTCAAGGACCATGGGTTGACAAGTTCCTGGACCTATGGCTGAGGCCTGAATCCATGGGGACTGAGTCACACCACATGTGGCTTGGTGTGGCCTCCATAACAGTCCCTCAGGCTAGGGAAAATCACTGCACCCCACAGGAGTAGAACATGAATCAAGTCAACTAAGGAGCCTGGGTTAAAGCCCCATAATTTCCACATTAGTTCCATGAACCCTGAGTTAACGGAAGGGCAAGTGTCACAGAGCAAAACCCCAGAGAGCAATCTGAGTGCAGAGCCCTGGCCCCCAGCCAGCCTGGCTCTAGGGCTGCAGTAGGACTGGCAGGAAGGCAGAGGCCAGGCTCTGGGTACCTAGAATCTGGAGCGGGGGAAGCCTCTGAGAAAAGCCAGTAGGGAGCCAGGTGAGAACAGGGCCAGTGGTGTCAGAAGGTAAGTGTGTAAAGATGCAGTATGTCAAGTAATAACAGTGTGGCTATGTTATCTGAGTGTCTCTGTCTCTGTGTGAGTGTCTCCATTGCAAGCTGGCCTGTTCCCATGCCTGGACCCCAGGAGAGCCCAGCATACAGGCCACACCCATTCCCTGATAGTGCTGGATGCAGGGAGCTCCTAGCCACCCTGCTTCAGTTCTTAACTCTCCTCACCCTCTGCTTCTGAGCATGGTGGGGGCTGTGTCAGCAGATCTGCATCTCACCAGCCTGCCGTATGTCAGCCTTGGCTGGGACATGAGGTGCAGCCATTGCCACCATCTAACAACCAGGCTCTGCTTCATTCCTCCTGTGCTTGCTGAGCTCATCCTCACCCTAACTGCAAGGGACACCTACCCTGGTTTCCTAATCCTGAGGATGCTTGACTGCTGGACCCTCCATCTGTGGCTTGTCATCTGTGCTTGATTGTTCTCACTTGGTTACAGGCTCTCCCTCTCTGCCAGATAAGTACCGCCATGCCCGTGAAATGATGTTGTTGCTGCCCACATACCGGGACCGCCCAAGCAGTGCCATGTATCCAGCAGCCATCCTGGAGAACGGACAGGTAACAGACCCACCACACTGACTGCCCTCTGCTGCAAGCGTGTTAGCCTGTGCTTCCCTCCTTGCATTTGCTGGGCCTTCTGCATTGTTCTACATGCCTCTCTCATTCCGCTGTAAGATCCCTCAAAAGGCTGCTGGGCTCCTGGATATGGAGTGCAGTGAACCTGAGGACCAGCAATCCAGACAGAGTGTAGGCGTGAGTAGAATGGTGGCAGGAACCACCATTGGAACCAGCACTACTCATGTAGCTATCTGTCCTTCCCGCCAGATTCCTGGACTCCTCATCCCTAAACAGTCTAGCGGAGGTAATTGGTTCTTTGCAGCCTGTCCTGAGAAGGCAGTGGTGGACACATTGGTCTGGAAGATGTTCTTCCTCCCTATTTGTGTGGCATCCTCACTGGAGCAGTCTGCCTCTTTTATTCATCCATCCAGCTGAAGTCCCTCACTACCTGCTGGGCTGTTCTACATGCCATTTGCACAGCTCTCCAAATGCTCTGCCTGGGGGACCTTGATCAAGAAGCTGTAGGGATTAACTCCCTCCCCTGGGCAGTCTGCTCCCACCCTTCTATCAGGGTCCATAAAAGTCACCTCTCAGTGACCATTACCTAGCCTCAGAATGCCAGGAGTTTCTTAGTGGTACCTCCCTGTGCCTGATCGGCTCTGCCAGCTAGAGGGATGAGGTTTGCTTGGCAGCTGCCCATCAAAACAGCAAGTCCTGTCTGTGACTCTAGGCTTGATGCTGTCCTTTCCTCTACCTTCGGCGCTAACACGGGCCTGTGCAGGGCCTCTCCAGGAGGCTAAACCTGTCAGTGCTCATGGGGAAGTGGGGATCTCTCTGGCCAGACAAAAGGATGCAAACAGATGCTCCCAGGTAGCTATGTTCTGTTTCTTGGGCCCTACATAAGACAACCTGGGTCCTAGCCAGATACTGGAGGATGATATTGCAAATATTGTATATAGAAGCAATGAGAACCAGACATCCTGGACAGTCTTTCCTGGGGCTGGCCAGGAGGTCTCAGTATATCTCAAGTGTGAGCTGTACCACTGCTTTGTTTTCCCTGTCTGATCTTGTAATGCCCTGTCTCTTGTGGCCCACAACACTGCCTCCCAAGATATAACTGGTTGTTTTCACTCTCTATAATGTTTATCTCCTTCCTTCAGCCGCCGAATTTCCAGCGAGCCCTGTTTCAGCAAGTGGTCGGAGCCTGCAAACCTTGCAGTGATCCCAATCTGTCTGTGGCTGAAAAAGGTATTGTTCCCCAGGTGGCCTTCCCCCCATGTCTGTACCCATCCTGAGTGTCTGACTCTTGTCCCTGAGTACCAGCTGGCCAGGGCTAAGCCATACTTCAACACTCAGGTCTGTCTGTCTGTCCAGAATTCTGACCAATTCTTGTGCTCACTATTTAACCCATGTCTGGCTTGATGCTAAGGTTTATATCCTGTATCCCTCCTTCCCCAGGGCCTACCCTCAAAGAGGCCCCAGCTGCCTCCTGCCCTGAGCCCACCTTTATGGAAACTTGGGCTTGTGTGTGCAAACTGTAGACAACTACTTCCCTAGACTCCTCCAAACCACCCGCAGAATTCAGCAGGCCTTGTGGCCCCTTTGGTCCCTCTCAGCTTGGGCCCTCAGGGATCTTTCCTTGGAGCTCAGAATAGGCCATGGCGAAACAAGCCCCAAGAGGAAGGGGAAAGACATGCTATTTCCCAAAGACAGGCTTCTCCAAGTGAAGCCCAGGGTGCCCCAAAGGAGTCCAGTCCTCCTGTTGCCACTGTGGCCAGCAGCTGCTGTGAATTCATCTTTTATTGCCAGGCCACCAACCATACTGTGAGACTGAGCAATCCTCCTTAGACCTGTGGCTGTTTAGAGAGTGGGCATTTTACCCTGTGTTCTGCTTCTGCAAGCTGATGAAAGAAGCAGACTCAGACCTCAGACACAGAGATCTGAGTTAATTTTAACAGAGAGTAATACTAAGTGCAGAGCCTTCCTGCCACCCAGAACCTGGCCTCATATCCACCCCTCTCCTCACAGGTTCTCTGCCTAGCTGCTCCATCTATTGGAGTTTAGGGCACATTCAGTTCCTACCAATACAACCTATCATCCCCTATTCCATCAGAACATGTCCCTCCAAAGCTGTCATCATCACGTTATTATCGTACCTGTTCATCGAGTGCTATGTGCTGTCCCCACTGTTATGCTCTGCCTTTGCTCATCATGGAGGACATACCTCTGTGTCGTCTTTAAAGAGACAAAAAACTGATGGGCACTGAAGCTGGGTGCCCCGCCACAAAGGGCCTGGAGACTGGCTGAAGATGCCTTCATAGCTTCAAGGTCGTATATCCCGAAAACATGCAGCTTCTTGGACTTCTGCACCTGTGACCCAAAACAGAGTGCCCTTTTCGCCTGGAGGGCCAGAATCCACAGTGGCATTTCTTCAGCTGAGATGCAGAGCAACGTCAGAAGTAGCCAAGAGTCTAGATAGGCTTAGAGCTCAAACAGGTGCTGTTGGCCAGACCAGGACCCTATCCCAACCAGATACATTAGTGCTTCAGGCCTCAGGCTAAGGCCAGACTACATCAAGGAGCTGGACATGCCCACTACTAGGTATGGAAGGAAAGGAGGGTTGTCTCAGAACAGAGGTGAGCCCAGAGCAAGCATATCCATACTACAAGGCCAGCATTTAGAGGGCAGCTAATCAGACATTTGCCCAGTGGCAACACACAGGCCGGAGTGTAGCTCCCTAAGTCTCTACCTGGATCCTCCAGGGCAGGAACTGTACATACTTCTCATCATTCTCTTGTCAGTCAGGGTTCTGAGTCCCATGAGGACTACATCTCTCACAGGTATCTCTTTTTGCCACGCAGTGACTCCCAGATAAGGTGAGCCTGCCCTCAGGACCATGGGCTATGCACTGGCGGCCTCAGGCCGGTGCTGGACAGTTGTTAATGGTGAGGGAGAGAGGCGACAGGATACAGCTGGGATCACCCCTCCTTTCCTATGATAAGCCATTCCATATCAGCCTTCCCTCTAGCCCAGTGCACATGTGCTACATGACAAAGGTCTACTGGCCCCACCGCTCACAGACATCAGGCTGCAGGGCAAACTTGATGGTTCCTGGTCTACGTGGAGTCACTCAGGCAGGCACCCTTTTGTAAACCATTACAGCCCTGTCAGCGTTCTTCTCCCATAGCCTTCCTGGCCTAGAGCTCCTTTGAGCCATTGTGGGTGAACATCTGCACCCCTTAATTCTTCCAGGGCTAGGTGTGCATCTGAGATCCTGGGCTGTCAGAACCCCTTTAGGGAAGCTGCCCAGACCCATTTCCAAGCTTCCTATTCCCTGATACTTCTTTGGTGGCTTTTTATGGAGAAGGTGCTTTTTTTGGCAGAGAGGGGAAGGTGCAGGGAGCCTTAGCACCAAGAAGCTCATGCTGCATCTTGTAGAGAGTGTAGGTGAGTGGGCCTGTTCTTGGGATGGCTCAGGCTCTCTGAGGAGGCTATTTGGTGAAAGCCATCTGATGCTCATTAGATGCAGAATTATTTCCTCCTTTCAGGCAACAGCTAAGTGTCTTGCCTGCAACTCAATCGTTGGCACACCCCTCCTTCCTGCCACCAGCAATCAACCATACCAGGAGACTGGGCAATTCTCCTCAGAACTGAGGCTGTTTAGACAGTAGAGTTTTACCCTGTGTTCTGCTGCAAGCCCACACCAGTTCCTGAGCAATGAGGAAGATGATGATGATGGATGGATGTCACAATCTTATCCCTGGACAGCTGAGGGGGCCCAGCCCTTCTGGCCACATCCTTTTCAAAGGACAGACTCTAGCTCCTTCCCTTCCAAAGCTTCTCAGCTCCCATTAGGCCCTGAAATTCCCCTCTCTGTGTCTAGACCAGGAAGAATCCAAACCTCAGGCTCAATGTAGCTACTACGGCCTGAGAACAAATCCAGTGACAGCACCTGGATTGTGAGCTGCTTCTTTGCTGCTAACAGCCCAAAGGGGAGAGTGGAGCTGCCTGGCTCCAACAGAGAAAGGACATATTTCTTTTTGCTGGTATTTGTTCTCTAGGAGGAGCTGACCAAGAGAATTCACATGTCCACTGCTGCTTCTGCAGAGTGGCACCCTCAGACCCCAAGGTCCAGCCATCATTCCTCTCTCCTCCTGAAAAGTCTGTCATCCCAACTGTGGCTGAGGGGACAGTATTCTGGCAGTAGACTCCTTCTTTAACACACAGAAGGGCACTCTGTGCTTCCCTTTATCCTGGGCCCACTGCACCCTGCATCCATGGCATGTGGGTGCTAGGTACTGGGGTTCTCTAGATGCCAAAGGGCACTCATGGGCTCCACAGCCCTCCCTCCTCCTGTTAGGAAGCAGTGAGTCCAGCTGAATCTGGGCTGCAGTTTCTTCCAACAGGTACCTGTCTTTGCTCCCTGCTTTTCCTACTGAGCCTGGGCAGTAGGAGAGCTGACTCTAGACTTTGGCAAGGAGCTCTATGTCCTGTGTTCTCTCTCTATTCTCTCATTCTCATCTCTACTCTTCTGTCCTGTTTTCTCTTCTCCTGGCGGATCCCAGAGGCCGCAGCTGTTCACTCCTTGCTGCACATTCAGCTGTCTCATCCTGAATACTCTTTAGACATAAGCTCACTCTGTTGCCCTCCTCTTAAGCAGCTTCAATCCCTGGGCAGTCTCCCCTGTGGGCCACAGTGCCTTGCTTGGCCAGTGTTTTTAGTTCCAGGTGCTGGCATGCCCCACACGTGTGCTGGATACATGGTGCACACTGGAGAAGCCACAGGCTGTACTTCTCCCAGAGGGTGGCTCAAGAAGTAACCTCCCTTCATGCCATCTGTTTCCACCCTTCAGCTGTGCCAGCAGCCCCCAGCAGCTGGAGTCTGGATAGCGGAGCCCAAGAGGCCCAGCCCTTCCTGTCTGCCCATATGGGGCGCATCCTGGCCCCCCCAGTGCCTCCCCGAAGCCTGCTGCATGGTAAGAAGACCTCCAGCGGGTCCCCAATAGTCCCTGGTCTCAGACTCTGCTCAAGGGCCACAGCAACAACCATCTAAGCTGAGAAGATGGGCCATTCTCTGGGCCGACTCAGCCAAAGCAAAAACACCCCCACCACAGGAAGGATCCTGCTGGGCTTTGGGGTTTCTGAGTACAGCAGGTTAGCTCAGGAAGGCCATCCCAACTAGAAGGCTGAAGACTATGGAATTGACTTTGCCAGGCACACTTCTCACCAGACTGTTTCATCGCCTAGCAGTCGGCTACAGCTGCCGCTGCCTGAGGCCTGTTCCACAGACTCTGAAGCATTCAACTTTTCTGACTTCCTGTGTGGAGTGGGTTTCTTCTACCCCAGCAGCCTGTGTTTTGGAGAAGGCCAGTGTAAAGAGAGGTTTATCCATAGCCCTCAATGCTGAGGGGTCCCCAGGGGACTCTCCTCATGCCTGCCCAGTTGGCCCAGCAAGATGGTGCTGGCATGAAGCCTGTGCAGGGCCCCCAGCTGAGGCTCTGGTTCTGTTCCCTTTGCAGGTCATTACTCCCTACACTTTGACGCCTTCCACCACCCTCTGGGTGATACCCCCCCAGCCCTCCCTGCCCGGACCCTGCGCAAGGTAATGTACTGAAGCAGCAGCCCCACCAGGCTGTGAGATGAGTCATCTTGTCTGCTCTAGAACCACCCTTGGGGTCTACAGGAGGAACTGGAGCCCTCCCCTTCACCTCTCTCCCCAGCCTGGCAGAAGCTGGGGGTGGCCAGAGCCACACTTGAGCTGCAGTTGCACACTTATGTCCTGCAGCAAATGTGATGGGGGCAGGGAGATCAGAGGGTCCTGGAGACAACAACACACAGTTCCAAGAGTGTGTGGGCAGTGAGCACTGGGAAACCTGGGGGCTGTCAGCCAGCACCAAGGTATCAACACACCATAGTTCGCTAGCTAAACAGATGTTCCTGTGGTGGATCAGAGAGCATTTCAAACTAGAATTCAGTAAAAGAAAGAACTTTATGAAAAACTCAGGAGAGTAAAATTTCCTACCTGTTAGTTTGTCTGCAAATTGGAAAAGACTGAGTCTATCACAGATTTTAGCAGCAGAATACATTCCTCTAGTCCATGGCCCACCAGGGTTCTTTCTGTCCCCCTCAACAGGCCTGATGACCCAGCCTTTATGTCAGTATCCCAGAGCCACCGACGGCAGCCTGGGACCTGGGACCAGGGGGCACCAATGCCCAGCAGCCAGGGCAGGGCCATTTTTTGGTCACTGAAATGCAGATGATTCTGGAGTTCCACTGGCTTACTTCAGGGTGGTGGGAGGAGCTGGGAGCTTGCTGCTGAAGAAACAAGAAACATGCTGTTGGTGAGGGTTAAAGTTCATTCATAAGCAGGCTCTTGGTGTTCCCATGGCGGGCAAGTCAGCCTGTCTGGAGAGAGGGATTCTAACATGCCCACCCTTTCGTTCACAGTCTCCTCTCCACCCTATCCCAGCCTCCCCAACAAGCCCCCAGTCAGGTCTGGACGGCAGCAACTCTACGCTGTCCGGCAGTGCCAGCAGCGGCGTGTCCTCCTTGAGTGAGAGTAACTTTGGGCACTCCTCGGAGGTCCCACCTCGCACTGACACCATGGACTCCATGCCAAGCCAAGCATGGAATGCTGACGAAGATCTTGAGCCACCCTACCTCCCTGTCCACTACAGCCTCTCTGAGTCTGCCGTCCTGGACTCCATCAAGGCCCAGCCATGCCGAAGCCACTCAGCCCCAGGGTGCGTCATCCCTCAGGACCCCATGGACCCGCCTGCGCTGCCGCCCAAGCCCTACCACCCCCGCCTGCCAGCCCTGGAGCACGATGAGGGGGTGCTGCTGCGTGAAGAGACTGAGAGGCCTCGAGGCCTGCACCGCAAGGCTTCATTGCCTCCTGGGAGCGCTAAGGAGGAGCAGGCCCGCATGGCTTGGGAGCACGGCCGAGGGGAGCAGTGAGGGGCAATGAGGCGGCTGGGATGCCGCCCTCAGTAAGCAGCTTGCCAACCACTCCAGGTCTGAAAAGCAAGTCCCCCAGCCCGACCCCAGGGAGCCAGAGAGGCTTGGCACTCAGGAGAGAACCACCCCAAGTCTCCATTCTACTGCCGTGAACTCATGTGTTGCCATGTACAGAGGCCACAGCAGCATGAAGGGTTGTGGCTTCCCTTTTTATTTTTTTACATTTCCATTTCTATGGGTTTTCCTTTCTTTCCTTTATGCAGTAGATGCTTTCTTCCTCCTGCAGTTCTGGACCATGTGGAGCTATATGGAGAAATTGCACAGACAGAATCACTTTGCCACACTGCAGGGCCCAGGAGCGGGAGCCCAGGTCCTCCCTCCAGGGTAGAGATGCACAGAATGGAAATTGCACTAAGGACCTCTTCCTTTGCTGTATGGACAGAAGAGTTCATGGTTGCATTCAGGGATTGCAAGGACCATATAGACATGTCACAGGTGGAAAAAGGGCCACAAGCCGTTTTGCACAAATGCCTGTCCACCTGCCCCTCTTCCATCCAGGAGTGTGCTACTGAGGGGCTGGCTGGACCAACCTGCTGGCTCAGGCACGTGACTGGCCCAACTGCATGCCCAGGGAAGTGCCAGGGTTCAATGGGCCAGCCGTCTCCTACTCCATCTTGGATTTTTCTCTCCATCACATTATTTCTGACCATTTGCTCCCTTCCATTCTTGAAACACCTCATGCCCCACAGGAGCCCCAGTGGTGACTGGATCTGCAAGGGTTATCTCTCACCCTCTGGGGTTTGAGTGGAGGTATGGAGCCAGAGGGGCTATCCTAGCCACCTTCCTCCTAGGGGGAGCTGGTCCCCTTCCTATGTGGTAGAGACTGGTGTAAGAGTGAGTCTGGGGTGTGGCAGGCGCCAGAAATCCTCGAAGCTTTCAGAAGCGTTCAGAATGCCTACCATCAGCTCCTGAATCAGGGATTTTCAGCACTACCTCTGAGCCATGGGGGTGGCTGCCTAGCCAGGCTTCCAGGCCCTGAGGACATGTGGTCAGATTCAGCAGGCTCCTTGGTAAAGAGGGTGGGAGGGGGCTTCTCCTTTTGGAAGCAGATAGCCATGCAGGTAGAATTGTCATCTCCCAAGTGGCCACATACAGCAACCTGCTCCAGGCCATGGGGACCACCACTCAGGGTTTGGGGCTGGCAGGAGGGCAGTTTCTCCAGTCTCCCCAGTCTGTTGGTGTCTTTATAGGAAACTATAAAGCAGAGCAGTGGTGTCTTTAGAGGAAACTCATTCAAGTCAGGGCACTGATTTTCCTCTCAGTTTATTATTTGGGGGGATCGGGTCAGGTGGGTATAGTAGTACTTCACCAGGGTGCTTTTAAGTTACTTTAAAAAAAAAAAAAGCCTACAAAATATTTCTTTTATTTGCTCAAGTTCACATTAATGATGGTCACAAGGCTGCCTTGTTGGGCAGGCATGTTGCCCCCATTTCCTCTTCTGCTGGCCTGTGTGACCTCCACAGCCAGGCCCTGGGCCCGAGCCCCTCGTCCCTTCTCCACTGCCCCTATTTCCAGACAGTAAAGGCCATGGTCAGGGTGTTTTTCACTTGTAAACAAACCCCAGCTTGTTTAACAGAAATGCTAATAACCTACTGGGAAAGATGGAGGTCTGAATTACCTTCAGGGTTTTTCTGGGGCTTTATCATCAGTGTGGGTCCCTTCTGATACCATCAGGTTCACTCCAGGCAGAGTGGGGCAGAAGGCTGCTGAGGATGTGGGTCAGTCACAGCAGCCCTCACCTAAAAGGGCTGGCCTGCTTCTCAGCCTACATTTATTTGCAAGCTTCAATCTCTGGACCATCTGGTGTTCACAGGTGTTAGAGGGTCGGGGCTAGCTTCAGATTTGATTCATAGGTAGGAGGGCTTAGATTTTAAGGCACTACTGAACGTCAATCCCTGGACAAGGCAGTCATCCCATAAGAACAGCTACCTTCTCCACTTCGTGGCACAAGAGGTAAGGAGGGGAGTATGGGTTCATTTGGCTTAGCATTATGCAAGTTGAAACCGTTTGTTTCCCCTCTCCATTTTCCCTAACTGAATGAAAAGGACACATTCTGAAATCCCTTTTGTTGGAGAATTATTCAGTCTGAGGGGAAATGGGAGGCCAGAGATGAGAACCCTTTGAGAAGATTGTAAAATACTGATTTTCATTCTTTCAAGCTTATTTGTAAATACCTATTTGAATGCTGTGTATTTGTACAGGAATTTGAGCAAAAAATGTATAGAGTGTGATGTCCAATTGGTATTCAGCACTATAAATGTGTTTTTAACCTCACGCATTCTGTGCTTATTTAAAACAAGAAAACTTCTAACCATTCTTTTGTGTATTCATGTTTAAAGAAAACAAGTGATTTAAAAATGATCTTACCTGTACCAGAAAAGCAAAGTTAAAGGAAACAAAATTTGTACCACTGTCCCAAGAGGTATTTTACTGTATATATTGTGGTAGCATGTTCAAAATCCAACAAGTAATGTGAATTTTAGATGTAAATATCTGCCACTTGATTTTTTCCCCCTTTCCCCACTTCCTTGACTGCTGTGATGTGAATTAAAGATGAATATCTGATAATGATCCACTGAATTCACTGAATGGGAGCAGAGGATGTGCCCCTCTCCAACCCTTGTCGCTGGGCTCCAAGCCCTTTTTAGCCCCATAGACATGTCCTTTTTGCACTGAGTAGAGCCAACCCTTCCCCAAGGCAGGCAGCCAGGAGGGCACCTGAAAGGAGGGCAGTCGAAATGGAAACATCCTCCAGTGCTTCTCTGCTGATCCCCGGGACCCCACTCAGGAGGCCCCTCAGCAACAGGGGACCCCGAAGGCCTAGCGGGGATGCAGGAGGAGGCGGGCCAGCCACTAAGCCACGCTTCTGAGCTTGTAAGGGCACCTCCCGAGCCCCTCACCTTCCCACTCTGAGGCGACCCCATATCCTCGACCGATGATGCGGCCCGGGCGCTGCCCTCCACGGTCTAGAGTGGCGGCCCAGCTTTGAGATTGGCGCGCCTTGAGCCCTTCCTCCGGATGTCCCGCAGTCCGTCCACCCCGCATGTCTCCAGTCAGCCTACGCACGGCGGGCTCCGGTCAGGTGGAGGTTCAGCAGATGGGCTTCCAACGGTTGGGTCCGTTGCCCACGCGTATGAAAGAAGAAAAAAGGAAAGAGACTTTTTTGAGTCTTGCCTGCGGTCGCCCGCCCTCCCTGCCTAACCTGCTGTCTTGGCTGACCCCAGAACAACTGCGCCACGAGTCTGAGTCCGGGCGAGGAAATCCGCAGGGTTTTTCGAGCAAGCCTGGGGCCCAGAGCAGGGGTACGCGGGTCAACTCAACAGATGTAAGGCAGTGGCGAACCCCATTTCAGCTAGCGGTAGCCAGCCTCAGCAGAGTCGCTGCCCTTACCCAATATGGCGGCCCACACCGCTTCCGTCGCTGCTGTAGCCGCTTCCTGCGGCCGGCCCGGGTTCAATCAGCAGCCGACAACTGTCTAGGGCTCAGACACCACCAGCCAATGAGGGAGGGCAGCGTGGAGCCGCCCGTCTGGGCTCCACGGCTTATGGACCAATGGAGATGTGGCGTGTGGGAGGGCGCGGAGGGCCCCCCGCCAATGGGGAGCTACGGCGCGCGGCCGGGACTTGGAGGCGGCGCGGCGCGGCGGGTGCGGTTCAGTCGGTCGGCGGCGGCAGCGGAGGAGGAGGAGGAGGATGTGGGCTACGCAGGGGCTGGCGGTGGCGCTGGCTCTGAGCGTGCTGCCGGGCGGCCGGGCGCTGCGGCCGGGCGACTGCGAAGGTGCTGGATGGGGGGCCTGGGGCCGCGCTCCGTGACCGTTCTGGCGACGGCGCTAAACCCCACAAAATCACCAGACGGCGGGGGCCAAGAGGGCGAGGGCGAGGGCGGGGGCGGGGGCGACGGGGGGTCCCTGCGGGGCCTGCACGAGGAGGCTCCGGCGCCCGCCCTAGTAAATCTTGCCCGGGCCTAGAAAACATTGGTTCGACGAGGAAAAGTTGAGACTAGATACCGTTGAAAACTTGGCCTGAAATCTCCATCACGCCTGAGTTATTGTCCCCACCACCGTCCAGAGGTTACCGCTCCCCGTCCGACGTCGGGAGCCCCAGGGCTGGCCGTGGGTGCTGCGTCCTGTCTGTAGGGATCACGAAGCTGCACCTCTGGGTCCGCTGTTGTATTTGGAAATTAACAGCAGCATTTTGATGGTTTTTCTCCTCACCTTCCAGTCTCTCCATTTACGAGGTCACAGTGAGTCCCGTCTCAAGGACACGTGTTCACCATGGGCTTAAACTTGATGAAAGGAGCAGGGAGGAGTCGTTTATAGGTCATTGGGTGATGCTTGGTCTTTTGATTCCCTGGGTGTACCAGGGGACCCCTGCCACCTTGAACCGGGTTCCGTCTACCTGTAGGCAACTGAGAAAAATCGGTGATGGAAAAGCTCACCTCAAATGATTCATCCCTATGTCTCCTATTAAAATTGTTGGCGGAGTTCCTTCCTGGTGGATTGGAACAGCTTGGTGATTGCTGAGCATCTCCCGTCCCTCTCTTTTCCAGTTTGTATTTCTTATCTGGGAAGATTTTACCAGGACCTCAAAGACAGAGATGTCACATTCTCACCAGCCACTATTGAAAACGAGCTTATAAAGTTCTGCCGAGAAGCAAGAGGCAAAGAGAATCGGTTGGTAAGTAGTTGGTGACCCTCCCCAACTGGCCCTGGCTCATGTTAACCCTCAGCTTCACTAGCCTTTTGATAAAAGGCCTTGCCCGCCTCTCTATTCAGGAAGCCAGCTACTCTCCATAAACTAATGTGAGACTGAAGTGTTTCTATGTCCTTCCCAAAGCAGGCATGTATTTTGCAACTGTGATTTTTTTTTTTAATCCTGTTAGTCTTTATTAAGCACCTACTATGTGCTGGGCACTGGGAGTATCAGGGGAAAGAAGTGACAGTCAGGCACACACATAATGCAGTGTCTGGGTGTCATGAAGAAAATGGACCAGTAGGCGCTGATTTAGAGTGGCCATGAAGTCTCTGAGGAAAGGTTATCATTGAAGTGAGATAAGAACGTCCCATACAGGGAACAGCAGTGTGAGTGCCCAGAGGCCTGAACGAGTTTGGCATGTATGTGGACAGGAGAAGGTGACAGGGTGCCCACAGGATAGGCAAGGGCCAAATCAAGACAAGAGTCCTAGTGAAGCAATGGGTTTTCTAACTTTAATTTCCCTGGCAGTCTCTGGCTTATCCCTCTGTTAAAGGTTTGAACCCTGATGACACTTAAACTCATTTGGTGGCTGCCAGCTTGGACTGAGCATGTGTTAAGAGTCCAGGGTTTACACTGACTGAATCTGACTACCAGTACACGCAGGGCACTGAAAACTGCAGCTGTGGGCCAGGTGCGGTGGCTCATGCCTGTCATCTTAGCACTTTGGGAGGCCAAGGTGGGAGGATTGCTTGAGCTTAGGAGTTTGAGATCAGCCTGAGCAAAGTGGTGAAATCCCATCTCCACAAAAAAATGTTTAAGCCGGGCACGGTGGCTCACACCTGTAATCCCAGCACTTTGGGAGACCGAGGTGGGTGAATCACCTGAGGTCAGGAATTCAAGACCAGCCTGGCCAACATGGCAAAACCCCATCTCTACTAAAAAATACAAAAATTAGCCAGGCATGGTGGCAGGCGTCTGTAATCCCAGCTACTCAGGAGGCTGAAGCAGGGAGAATTGCTTGAACCTGGGAGGCAGAGGTTGCAGTGAGCCGAGATCATGCCACTACACTCCAGCCTGGGTGACAGCGTGAAACTCCGTCTCAAAAAAAAAAAAAAGTTTTAATTAGCTGGATGTGGTGGCCCACACTGGTAGACCCAGCTACTAGGGCGGCTGAGTGGGAAGGATCACCACCCAACAGATTGAAGCTGCAGGGAGTCATGATCATGCCACTGCATTCCAGCCTGGGCGACAGGGGGACCCTATCTCAAAAAAAAAAAGTTAGGCCCTACCAGAGAGACGATGTCTCAAGGTGTCAGTATGTTTGGAGGCGATGGCTCTCAAGCACCTCCTGAAGGCCACTGTCCTTTCTTGATGCAGTGCTACTATATCGGGGCCACAGATGATGCAGCCACCAAAATCATCAATGAGGTATCAAAGCCTCTGGCCCACCACATCCCTGTGGAGAAGATCTGTGAGAAGCTTAAGAAGAAGGACAGCCAGATCTGTGAGCTAAAGTATGGTGAGTACGCCTAGTCCTTACTTAATGAATGCTGTGCACCTTCTGGGTTTATTTCCCATCTGGGAGAGGAAAATGATGAGCTAGAGTCATGAGTGGATTGTATTGTTTGACAGATGGTGCTAAATGCTGGAGGGCTCTGGCATGGAAGTGGGTGGAGGTCAGAATAGGCCTTATTGAATAGGTTATATTTCAGCAAACTTTGAAGGAGGTGAGGATTAGCCAAGAGGCTAACTAATGGAAGAGCATTCCAGGCAGAGGATACAGGCAGGATAAAGGTGGCCAGTGGCATGGCAAGTCAGAGAGCATTGCAGGCTGGTGAGGGCTTTTAATCTGCGTGAAGTTAGGAGCATTAGGAGTTTTTGAGCAGAGAAGTGACATGGTACGACTTGGGTTTAACAGGCTGGTTCTGGCTGCCAGCTCTGAAGCCCCAGTGATCTTTACTATTCTGAAAAGAAACGCTATGTCCAAGTATGCAAGCCCAAGAGTTAGGAACTACAGCATCTCTCTTGCTGACTGGGTCTCTGGTTGTACATAGTCCCAGTCTTCAGAAACAGGGCGTCTTTTGAAAAACTTGAATGGCCAAGGACCTGTGTTCGCCCACTTGGGTCTTCTGAGAGTCATCCTGGTACAGGTCCAGTTGGCTCCAGGTCACTGTGGTCATGGAGAGTAAGTTCCTCAAGGGCCTGAGCAGGGCTGCTCTTTGTCACCAGCCTGGAGCTGTTAAGTCTGTGGTGACTATGTCAGAGGCCCTTGGAAGATGGGAACCACGTTTCTCCTGTAAGGACAGTGTAGCCTCTGTCCCTATCCTTGTCCACACTGCATATCTGTAGTAGACACAATATGTGGCCAGCCTTCCTGGTGAAGAGGCTAGTTCCCTCTTGTGGGGGCAGTAGGCACTGACATGCCTGTAAATGTGTCTGGAAATGTCTCTTCCTCTGAAACCAGTAGGGCTGGTTTGGCCATTCGGGGAGTGATATATTCTGGGACT